TTATTTCTCAATATTTTTCCGACACTTTTCCCCTGTACACAGAATTGCAAGGCAGTGACGAAGAGGATGAGGATGAGGATGAGGATGTGGCTGAGATTCTGATGATGATATGGGCGTGCCGAAGCATTCACATTGAGTGCTAAATCGTTTTGTGGGGAGGGTGGGTCGTCGTGTCGTGGCAGCAGTAGCATTTCCTGTTGCAAAGCAAAAGATAAAGCCCACAGGCCGCTGGCCATGCGATGAATCAGAGAGGAGGAGCGAGCAAACAGCGAACCCTTTGCCTGGGTCCCACAAAATGCGTGTGTCATATGCTCCATATCCATAATCCATATCCCATATCCCATATTAAGAGAAAAACAAACAACAACAGCCACAAAATAAACCATTGCGAGAGGAATATCAACCCAAGCCCATCCCCATCTCCATCCCCAGCCCATTCATATATGTTAATCATCCATTCAAACAGTTTTCAGCTCATATAACAGCACAAAAGAATGGATTCTCTTCTCTGGCAGGGCCCCTCCTCCATGGGAACTGGCAATTGGAATGCATTTTGAAGGCCCAGCCAAAGTAAATTCAAATTGAAAACTGAACAAACTGAAAAACGAAACAGTGGCACCCCTTGATCTCTCGCAGCCAACCTTCGGTTGGGTCTCAAAGTCTCATAGAGACTCTCCGAGGCACGGTCTCCGTCGCGGTCTGTGTCTTTCCCATCGCATATTGTTGAATCCTCCCCGAAAATTCGTATCGCTTTTTGAGTTATATTTCACACTGATGTCTGATGATGACTGACTGGACGGGGACATGGTGGCAAGCCCAAAAAATGAAATCAATTTACACACCCCGCGCTGTCTGTCTGTCTGTGTGTGTGTGTGTGTTGGATCCCCCTGCACTTCCCTGCACATCCCCCCCTTGAATGCTGCCACTCCCTCTGCCACATCTGTGCACTCGTCTGGCCATGAACCTTTTGTGCGACGAGATCTTAGCGCCTAAGTGCATCAATTGACGCGCTTTTTCAGATGGAAAGTTCCCCCAATTGCATTAAGCAAATTGAAAATGCTTCAACTGACAGAGCAAGAGAATGAGAGGGGGGAGGAGAGCATGAGGGAGAAGGAAAGAAAGTTGTGTTAAATTGAAACGGAAATTCTATGAGGCAACATTTCGATGGTGTGCTGTTCGCGACAGCATTTTGTAATTGAAATTTGCGGCTACAATGCCACAAAAGAATACACAAAAAAAAAGGAAAAATATTAATAAGCCAAGTAAAATGTGGACTAAACGATGGACTAAGCCGCGCACAAAAAGCAATTTATCAAGTAGGCCATAATCACAGGCACAAAACCCTTAACAGATGGAAAAACCGAGAAGGAAACTCGAAAATCCATGAAATGCGAGAGAAAATACAAGAAAATATACAAAGGCAGGGAAAAGATAGGCAGCCCACAGCAGGAAGGAGCGCGGATAGTGGAAGTGAAGGCTGTCGCTGTCGCTGTGGCTGTGGCCTCCTCCATTACCATTTCCCAAATGATAATGATTGATGGCTGTTCCTTCGCACTCCCTCTCTTTTACTCTTCTCTTGTTAATGCTGATAAAAAGAAGAAAACGAGTCACAAACAACAATAAACATGCACATTGCCCGATATTACAATATTATATTCTTGACTTTTTGTTGTACATATTTTTATTATACGATATCGAAATAAGAAAAGCAGCAAGGGAAAGAAGGGCATATCTGTGCGCTGATAAGTTCATTGGCTTTTATCAAAGTTCTGAAGAATAACTTGAAATAAATGTGAAATATTAATGAGGGGAATGCCCACACATGAGGGCACATGATAAATGTGGCAAGTGGCAAGCGGCCTGAGATTGTGAGTGAAAGAATATGCGATGCTGTGGAGGAAGGACCTTTGCCAGTGTTAAAGATTTGCGCCTCATTTGAGCGGTTTCATTGCCAAGAGACAGAGAGCCGGGTGCCCAAGGTTAACTGTCACTAAATGACTCTGACAAAAGATACATTCAGTCGGTGCTCCTCCGCTATGACAAATTGATTACATGTAATGCTGTGTGTTCGCTGCTTGCCCCATTCGCTACTGCTGCCACTGCCACTGCCACTGCCACTGCTGCTGCTGTATTTGATTAGGTGGAACATTTTATTTCCTCTTTTGGGGCTCTAGCGTGGATGTCTTTCAAAATTTGTCTTGTTTTCTGTTGATTTATATCTCTGCGAGACATAGTTTTGTCCCACTCTCTCTCTCTCTCTGTGTGTGTGTCTGGCGCTTTTCTTCTTATTTGATTTCAGCTAAGATGATTTGGCCTTAATGCATTGAATTGAGCCAAACAGGAAACCTTTGAAGACAACTCCCACCCCGTCTTGCTCTTCCGTCGAGCGACCAAAGGCTGTTCCTCTATCCCCTCTCCCCTCTCCCCTCTCCACACATAGCAAGTTGAATTGGCCTGGTCGAAGAGGATTTCTAGCCAATACGTTTATTTTCAGTTATAAATTAAATTTTTCATTCCACTTGCTCTTGTGTCCCTTTGCCACCCCACCGCCCCTTCCCCCCTCACCCATTTACTTTCCTGGGAAGCGTTTTTATTTACGGTAAATTTCATTTCGATTTCTTTTCCCATTTTTCGGGTTTATTTCTTCTTTTTTCTTTTTTTGTTCCTTCTTGTGGCTGTCTGCACTTCTTGAAAGACACCCATCCACAGCCCGCTGCCACAGCTCAGATGCGAAGAGCTGAATGGCCAATCAATAACATGGGGCAAGAGAGTCGAGTGGGGTTGGGGTTGCAGGTTGGGTTGGGGGGGTTGCCTGTTCCTTCTGCAACACTCTAAACACCAATTGATGTTTATATGATAATGATTAATGACTACGTTACTTTTACACAGATTGCTTTCGGAATGGCTTCACTGTATTGTAAATACCATGTCCATGCATCTGTATCTGTAGCTCTGTAGCTCTGTAGCTCTGTAGCTGTGTGCGGAAAACCTATTTATTTATAGGCCCCCACCTACCCATACAAACAGGAGGCATTCTGGCTCTGGCGCCTAGTTTTTGGGCCTTCTGTTTCTCCTTCTCCTCTCTCCTACTTTCCCTGCTGCTCTTTCTTCTGCTTCTTCATTTCCTTTTGACAGAGTTTTAGTTGCGAATAGCCTTAATTTTTCGTTCGCCGCTGCTTTCGGGCCTCATTACCAGACATTCATCAATTGTTGCCAATTTGTTTCAAAGTAAGCGAAAGAAATTGTTGTTACGACATGTACTTGGCAGTTTCCTGTTTGTTCCTACACTCGCATCGGTTAGCCTGAGTTATTTGTCGTTTTATTGCGCTTGCTAAATGTTGAAGGAAACGGCGCTGACATTTGGATGCCCGGTCTGAGTAGATAAATTTGGGAATCTCGTATGGGAAAGGGAATCCTAGAAAGTGGTTTAAGGGTAATATTTGTTATTGGATTTGAAGTGCTCCCTTCCTCCCTCCAGGATAAGCATAGATCTGCCTCTGAGTTGTCTGCCGAACTTTCTAGTTCTTGCCATTTCCTTCGACATCAACTTTCTAGGGTATGTGAAGGAAGGTACCTTCCTTCCTTCGATTCTCCCTCACTTTCACTTGCTACTGCTGTTCTTTTTTTTGGCCAACTTGTTGTAACTGTTACTAATGATGACAACTTATTTTGGCCTAAATGCTCGGCCAACACTTTTATTGGTTTTCGTTATTAATGATGGCCCTTGGAGTAGGAACTGGTCCAAAAACTGGCGGAAATGACTTTGTGGTTCCGAACTTAAGGTGGTAGAAAAAAAAAGGGGAATTTATTCATTAATCAAATGCACTGATTAGAGTGTTGCAGCCCTGGAGAAGTGCGGGTGTGGAAGGTAGGAAGTCAGGTGGAGTCACTGAGAAGTGGGTTTTGGTCGACTTTTATGGGAGGCTGTGTCTGACAGTTGGTTGCTGGACACCCACCAGCAGCAATTACACTGGCGGCAAATGAAATTAGAACAGCAATCGACGACGAGGAAAAAAGGGTTGTCAGAGCAACGCAGTTATATCGATGAGGGCGAAATTAATCAAAGACGAAAGTAATCATCGAGTCAACATGGACAAATGGAGTGTGCCAAATGGACTCCCCGCCACAACACACACAAAACCCCCTGGCAACCCACCAACCATAAGAAAAATGTGTCTGTCTGAAGGCGTGTCCTGTGTTTTTGGTTTGCCGTTAATTGTTCTCTGCTTTCTCTTTCTTGCGCGCTCTCCCTCTCTTTCTCACTTGTTCTCTCTTGTTAATTTCTTCGGCTGTTGCGCCCCGTTTACGATTCCATTTGCCATTTATCATTGTGTGCGCCCTTCGCCTTTGGGTTATATTTTATAGGTCCCCTCTTCTATGCCCCCTTCAGTATGGATATCTGGGGAAAAGGGTTTGGCCGGCACTCATTTTACGTTTGTATTTAAATATTTTATTGAGTGCTTGAAATTGTTAATTGTTTTTTAATGGCTAAAAAGGATAGAAAAGTGTAAATGAAAAAGGGATAAAATAGGACTAGATTTTCCCCTCCCCAGAGCCAGATCGATTCCAATTAGGGCTCTCTATCCACATCCCAGAACTCTTTGGCGGCACGTGCTATGTCAAGCTGTGTATCCTGCTGTCTTATGCATCAAAGAGCAGACTGAAAATCAGCCCAGAGCACTGCACATTTTTGTGGCATCTCGCGCATGGATCAAACTTTGATCAAAGCATCAACCACAATTTTTTTATGCCACTCATGGCTGGCATTTTGCACGGCCAGCAAGGTGAGAGCATTCTAAGAATCCCTAATGAAGCTCCGATGACATTTTAACTTTCGGGTCGAACGGCAAAGGAGACCCAAGCAGCCCCGCCAGGAATCTCGCAGGATTTTTTTGTTGCGCTTGACAGCTTTTAATACAAAATACAAAAAGTTCACGTTGCTGGATTTTCATTTTGATTTTGCAGCAAAGCGAGAGCGGGGCAAACCCTTTTTTCCTTCCGCTTGTGTGGGGCCATGTCCTGGACCTTCTTCATGTGACATATTTTTAAGTAAGTTGTCAAATTATTTTCAGTGTTTTGCACAGCAGGAAAAATGAAATTATGTTTGCGGTTTCGCCTCGTTCTTGTTTTTGTCCTTGTCCCCTCCATCGTTTCGTGGTTTTGCCTGCAAGGAAAATGGGAAAAAGTCAAATGTTGAAAAGGCAAAAGGTAGGCTAATAATGAGAGACCTTTTCTCGAAGGGAAAGGAAAGTAGCTGCTGCTTACCCTTGATGTAATCCGAGATGCATTTACCATCGAACCCAAAACTGCACTTGACTTTGGGATCAGTTTTCACAGCTCTCGCAGTCCCTTTTCGATACTTCTTCCAGCACCTTTTCGACATTTCCTTTCTTTTATGCCTTCTTCTTTGTTGTCTTTTATCGGGGCATGCATTAGAGTAAAGATTAAACGAAATTGTGACTAATTTGGTAACCTATTTTCTTCTTTCTTTGCAGGTAATTATCTCGCTTAGATCAGATCATCAACTCCATCACAATGATGCCAAGCTTCATGCAAATGGCCATCGCAAAGATGAACAGGATCAGGGTCTTGCTCGGTCTCTGCCCATCCGTGGCCAAGTGTGTTACAAGTATCTTTTTTGGCATTCTCTTTAGGAATTCCTATTTGAGATTCGTTTTGTTTTGAATTTATTTTAGTTTTCAGTTTTTCATATATTTTAGTTTTGTTGATTTTATGGGCAATGCCGAGCCGACCCACATGGATGTAAACTTTTTATTTTTCCACACACTCAAAAGTGTGAAATGCATAGCCAAACATTCAGTTTTGAAGTGAAAGCCGGCAAACAAAAGGCGCATTTGGATGCACATTTGCGGCAGCTGCAGCTGCTGCCACACAGCCGATGGGCATTTTCACACATAAGCAAATTGTTGCCCGCTGCCAGCTGTTGGCTGGCCTCCGTCTCCAACTGCATATCCATTATTGCTTCTGGGTTGGAAGGGCGATCCAGCAGCACATCTTTAAACAGTAGTTGTTGTTGTTGTTTTTGTTGATTCTTCTCGCTCTCTGATCTCGGCTCTCGGACTACTCCCCACTTAGCCTTGGCTGCTTGTTTAGCCTTTTTCGTGTTGATGTTAAGTGTTTTTCTTTTGGTTTTCGGTTTGTGTCGTGCCGTATCGTGTCGCTTCAATTTGTGTTTGGCTAATGAAAATACCTTCAAGAAAGAGCGACGGCACTGTAAGCGTTTTACAATACTTTTGGGCTAGGCATTTTCACCGCCTTTTGGGGTGCTCTCTCTCCAGTGACTCAGAGGCAGGCATTCCACAAGCAAATGACTTCATTGTGCTGCACTCGAGTCCCATCTGCACTACGCTCTGTGCCCCAAGCCCTAGCACTTGTTGTTAAGCTATAAATTCGCAGCCGCAAGACAATGGGGGTTACCCAGACTCGGCGGCTGATCTCCACTTAGTCTCCTCTGTTCAGTGGTTATTTCTGCCAGTGCCAGTGCCAGTGCTGCTGCTGCTGCTGCTGCTGCTGCTGCTGCTTCTGTTGATGATGATGATGATGCTTTCGTAATGGAATTCAATGCATTTAATGGAAATTTTTGCATTTACATAATCGATGCAGGGCAGAGGCGCAGTCAAGCAGCAAAAGCAACAGAGCAACAGTGAGGGCAAAAAGTGTATGCTCACACGCAAATTAAGCATCTTGGAGCAACACTACAGCCACTCCCCACCTCCCACTCGGACTGCAGAGTCGGTCTCTCTGGTCGTCTCTCCAGTCTCTAGTCCATGGCCAAGCAACTCAATTTGCTTGCGCAATCTTTCCGTACTCTCACCCCTCCTCCTTCTCCCTCTGCCTCTGCCTCTGCAGCACTGAAATTTGCATAGAGCTCTGCATGTGCACGAGTTTAGGTGCTTAGATTGTGTGTTTGTGTCTGTGTGTGACTCTCTGATTTAAGATACTTGCTTAATGTGTAATTTAGTGCATTTAGATAAGTTTCCATAGTGAATTTTTTGATGTGTGTGTTTTGTGTGTGCCCCATAGGGGGAAGGGGAAAGGGAACTTAATGCATTGTCTTGCATTTCTGCATGTTGCATGAATGCAGCATTCAGTGATTCTGTAATTCTGTGTGTGCCACTGCCTCTGGCTCTGGGTTGCTGCTGCTGCTGCTGCCTGGGTCTCGTTTCGAGCTGCATCTGCCTCTCCTGCCTGTTGGCTGATAATGCTTTTGTTTATTTAACGGCGCTAAGTGCATTGGTTGCATTTGCATAAATCGTTCATGGTTCTGCAGGCCGAGAGTGGGGAGTGGGGAGTGGCAAGAGAGAGAGAGGCTGAAGAGCCAGACGAACGCATTAAACAATTTGTGGCATTTTCGCGTTATTATAATGCTGATAAGAGGCAGCCATGCTGCGTAAAATCTACACTAGAAAAGAATTTAAATATTTCAAAAATGCATTCAACAATTTGTTGCTGCGCTGCGTGGCAGGGCCGTGGCTCTTGTATCACCACGCGTGTTAATCGCAAAAGCCAATATGCAGTCGATAGCCATTTGTTAATGCGTTATGCATTGCCTGCTGCTGCTGCTGCTGCTGCTGCTGCTTCTGGCATTTCTCAGGCATTGTCAGTGCATTAAATCCCCCGGAAAATGCCCTCTACTGAGCAGGGACCTGGCCTGGCCTGGCCCTGTGATAAATTACACAACGGACGGACAGCGACAGAGAGACAGAGAGAGAGAGGGAGAGAAGGAGAGAGAGACAGACGGCGAGACTCACATTTAATAAATAAAAATTCCATTATGGTCGACCCGGTCCCGGTCCCGATCCCGGTCCCTCCTCCAGCTCAATCAAATAACAAAGGAACTTGGCTCAATGGAACCGCGAACAGGCAGATTAAGAGGGGGTGGCACGCCAGGAGAGGTGTGGAGTGTGTGTCGGTAATAAATGACGTTGCATCTCCTGGTCAGAAGAGATACGGTGCAGGGAGGGTTGGTGGGGTGCGTGTGGGGATCGTTATGATGCCATAACGTCGCACAGGGATAAGCTTGTCAATTGACGTTACCATTTTACATGCCTCATGCCTCATGCCTCATGCCTCACTTGCCTCATTTTTTGTCTGCTGGCGCCATCTCAAACGCCCACAAAGCGTTGTGTTGCATCATCGGACAGCGGGCAGCAGCATGCAACAATTGTGGACAAAAAACCAATCCTGTTTTTGTTAGCTGCCGCTGCAGTGCCCGCCGCAACATGGTGTAATTAACCCGTTTGTCATGCAAATAAATCAAAAGCCAACATCCCTCATAGTTGTACTCCTTTGGGGGCAGCACTGGAGATCATGTTGCATGCAGTCTCAACCGCATTTTCGAGTGCATTTTCCCCATTGACTGCTGCCGTTGCTGTTGCTGTTGCTGTTGCTCTTGTCGTACACGTGTCAATTGTCGCCACCGCACAGGAGTTGGGCTTCGAGTTTTTCCTTTTGGCCGTTCCCTGGGTTGGGTTTGTAGTTTATGGAATTATACTTTGATTCACATGCGGGATTTTCCACGACTTTCATTTTGGCAGGCAACCAAAAAGTCATCTTCACACACCCTCGAAACGAAAACAAAACCAAAAGAGCAACCGAAATGCCACCAAATTAATTGCAACAAAATGCGTTAAATGCCTTTCGCATTTATCAAGACGGGGAACGTGCCCCGCATATGCCACAAGCTAGTTCTCTCTCCCTCCATCCTACCCCTCATCGTTGCCTGATGCTCGATCGTGTGCACTTTAATGCCTCAATTTTCATCAGCAATCACCATTGCTGCCACTGCCGCTACGTGCGCGCACCCAAAAATAGCCGCGTTTTTCCTGTTGCCTGTTGCCTGTCGCTCATCGCATTTCATTTTGGTTTTTGCTTCTGCCTACGATTATTTCTGTTTTGTTATTTTGGCTTTCTGTGTGTTTTTTCTTTCTGTTTGTTTGTTGGTCAAAAGACAAGTTCCGCGTGAGCCAATTTTTGGCCTAAATGGCAATGAACTTGAACGTCACATCGCTGAGCGTCGCGTCGCTTCGAGTCGCGTGGAATTTCGCTGGCGCCCTGCGATTTAATTTTGGTTTTCGTTTTCGTGTCGTTTTCTTTTCTTCTGCTTCCCCTTGGGTGTGTGGGGGGGCTTGTTGTGTCTCTCTGCCGTTTAGCGTTCGGTTTTGGTCACGCGATGCTGCCAGGCGTAACAATTAGCCAAAGCAGACAAGAAGTGAGTATGTTATTAAGGGTAGGTGGTGGTAGGGACACAGGCCGGCCCCTGTGAGTAATCATGAGACTATAAATTCACATTAACTTCATTTGAAAAAGGTCCGTCCGGCCATGTTGTGTGTGTGTTATCTTTGATTATTAGGAAACCCATTTAAAAGGGAAGTTTATACTAGAAGAAGCAAGGAAAAACAGCTGCTGTTAAACAATTGGAGCTTAACTAACAGCAGATATGTCCAATAATATAACAGAGACATCAGCAATATCATAATAAGAACTTGCTGCCAAAATTCACATAAGAAAAACCTACAGCAACCGACACACAGCCAGTTCTCACCTAATAAAAGTGACGAAGACATTTTCTCTCTGATGACAGCTCCAACAACAGCAACATCAACAACCCCCCACCCAAGGCAATGCTGCCAAAAAATGCAAGAAAAGCGAAAAGAGTAGATATAGTATAGCGCGAGAGAGAGGGGGGGGGGGGGAGGGGCAGGCGTGACAGCATGAAGTGTAGCGTAATAAAATGCACACAATTTACGCAATTTACGTAACGCTAAAAAACATAACAGGCAAACAAGGAGCGCAGGAGAAGGGGTTCGGTGGGAGCCTCCCAAAGTCACAGATGGAAGATGGAAGAGCAAAGGCACTTAGCGAAACTCCAACACACACATCGCATAGTGATGGCAGTGGCAGCTTTTATGGCTGCCTTTGCACGTCACTTTTTTCACCGATGATATTTTTATACAGCGAAATTGGAGAATTTATCTTATGGAATGTTCCTGCAACGCGGCTAAACCTTTTGGGGAAAATCGTCAGTAGTGCTCGTGTTTTTGTTGCTCCTCTTTCTGCCCCTCAATGCTGCTCATCTGCTCGCTTGCTTGCTGCTTGTTGTTCAAACAGTTTTCGACGCGTTTTTCACATTTTAACAGCCGCCATTTTGTTGGTGCCCGTTTGCTGTTGTTGCATTTTCCGGCTTTGCGCTGTCATTGTCCTGGATCCTGGCATTCCTGTTGCTGCTGCTGAAAATGTTGCTCTATTCGCCCCACCCGAGGTTTTGTTTCGTTTCATTTTGGGCTGCCTTCCGCCTTTTTCGGTTGTTTGTTCTTGCCTCCTTTTCTTTTTTGCCTCTTTTTTTTGTTGCTTACTCTTTTTGCCTTTCATTTTGTACATTTTCGTTTTGCCAGCATGTTTCGAAATTCAATTTTCGTCAAGTTGGCAACAGGCACATGAAGACAGCTAGTTGATGGAGGGGTGCGGTACGGGCTGTGGTGTGGTGTGTGCCTCCTCCTTCACTTTACTTGCGACAAGAGAAACATTTGTCTATGTCGAGCTGCGACGACATGCAATAACTTTAACTGATTTTCAGAGGCAAGGACGTGAGGCAAAGATGTGCCCGAAGAGTATTTATAATTCTATTTATGTTTCAATATAGTCCTGGCAAGAGCTGGGCAGAGCCACATGTGAGCCCGGGGCATCCCTCTGGTAAAA